CTGCCTCACTGCCTCTGCTCAGACTCCTGCCTCACTGCCTCTGCCCAGGCCATGTGCCCACCCAGGCTCTCTCACCTTCGGGTAGCGTCTCAAACTCGTGCTCCAGGCTGTAGCTGCCCTGGCCGCCCTCAGGGGTCAGTGCCTGCACGCGGAAGATATAGACTGTGCCAGGGGCCAGGTCACTGATGACCACTGAGCTCTTCTCCAGCACTAGGACTGTGTACGTCGTCACGTCGTCCTCATTGTCTTTGTCCTGTGGCAGAGAGACAATGCATGCTGCAGTAAAATGTGATACTAGAGGACTGTGCAGTCCTGTGCACACCCTGTAAACCATCTATAGAGTAACTTTTCTCTTTGTCTCCCTGCTAGTCCCAGACTTTCTCCCTGCCAGTCCCAGTCTGTCCCTCTGTCAGTCCCAGTCCTCCTGCCAGTCCCAGTCAGTCCCTCTGCCAGTCCCAGTCACCCTGCCAGATGCAGTCTGTCCCCCTGCCAGTCCCAGTCTATGCCCCTGCCAATAACTCCCTCTGCCAGTCCCAGTCCGTCTCCCTGCCAGCATCTCCCCCTGCGTACCTTCTTGCGGTACATGAGCTCGAAGCGGGTGGCGTGGGGAGAGGCCCGGCGAGACACGGCCCAGGACAGCGCCAGGCTGCTTGTCCCACGTTCATCCAGACGGATCGATGTCACTTTGGGAGGCTCTGAGGGAGAGAAATCAGACAAACAGACGGATGAAGAGTCGCAAAGAAAATCAACAGATCGTCTCTTCTGACGTTCCATCAGAGCGAAGGTTCTTGGCGCTGTCTGTGTGCAGCCGCGGGAAGGGCAGGTGTGCTCACCTGTCTGGTGGATGGCAGCGGTGACAGTCGCGGTGGCGCGCCGTGGGCTGAGGTCCGACACTCCGTTCCGCGCCTCGATGGTGAAGGTGTAGTTCACGTGCGGCTCCAGCTCGCTCACCGCGACGAGGCGCTCCTGCAGCCCCGCCCCCTGGGGCTCGTAGCGCAGCCTGTCCTCGCACGGCTGGCACGCCCCCTGGCCCTGCCGGCCGCACCGCTCGCACGACACGCTGTAGGAGACGTCCCTGCGCCCCCCTGTGTCCGCCGGGGGCTCCCATGACAACCGCAGCTTGGCGCCCATCGTGATGGCAACGGCTCCTCGCGGCGCAGAGGGTGGAGCTGTTCGAGAGGGGCAGGGAGAGACATTTCAGGGCGTTTGTGGAAGACCCTCACGGTGCGTAAGGAACAGAGGGACGGAGGAAAGCCCCGTCGGACGATTTCCCCACCACTCACCCGAACAGCCGTCCTCCTGCTCGTCTCCGGGGGCTCTGTAGTAGCCCTGCTCGCAGGGGCAGGAGGCTGCCCCCTCCCCTGAGGGCAGGGTGTGCTGAGGACACCGCACACAGGCCTCGTTGGACACCGAGGGCTTGAAAAGGCCGGGCAGGCACGCTGCAGGGACAGAGAGTCAGCGTTCAGCCATTTTCACAACTTCACAGACAAAAATGCTCTTCTTACACTGGAAGTCATTGCAGAAATTGAACGATACAAACACAGCCCGAGATGCACATGCAAGTTTAAAGTATTCCTACAGCAGTGCTCTCCAGAGGGCCAGTGTGCCTGTCGAACAGGTGTGGGGATGACTCTGTCCTTCTTACCCTCACGCTCCCATCGTGAGAAACTCTGGTTCTGAGAGAAGACCAGTTTTTCTTCATTCCACCACTGCAAAGCTCAGCAGCCTAGCAGCTCTCTTACAACCCCTCTCCCTCTCTCTCTCACAACCCCTCTCCCTCCCTCTCACCCCCTCTCCCTCCCTCTCTCACAACCCGTCTCCCTACACTACACTAATTCACCTTCCTCTCGCTGTCTCTGGGCTCCCGAGTGGCTGGGCCAGCAGAGGCACTTGCCCAAGAACAGGCTGAGCTCTACGACCCGGGTGTCATGGGTTCGAGCCTGGGTCAGGATGAGGCACATCGACTCCGGGATCTTCCCACGGTTCGGTTTTACAAGGATGGGGATTCCGCAGCTCTCCAGGAGCCCGTGACCCCGTGACCCCGTGACCTCTCACGACAGAGGCCGTCACGGCTCGGCACAGCCCTGCTCACTCGTCAGCAGCGCACAGAGGGCTGTCGGCTCCAGAGAGAATTCGCTCCCCTTTCAACTCTTTCCCCAAAAATCTCCAGCTCCAGCTGCTTTCTAAAAACAACTCCTTTCATTTCTCTTTTCCAAACCTCTTTTGACTTTTGCTACATTTGAACCTTAAAATGAACTTCTACAATGGGGGGGGGGGAGGGGCAGCTCTGAAGCTCCCATTCAGCACATGTACACACACACACACACGTTTTCTTTTTCCATTTCTGGACTATTTTAAATATCCCGAGGGAAGCGAAGTTTACAGTTCTGGATTTCCCCTGAGGGAACTGAAACAGAGAAGAAAACATGAGTGAGAGAGAGAGAGAGAAGTTCCAAAACAAGCCAGGGTCTCGTTCCATCTGTCCTCAGAGAGACGATCCTACACAAGAACCACCATGTAGACAAAGAGGACAAGACCTAGGAGGGCAGGCTCTGCAGGGCAAAGGTTCGAACTCTCCTCCCTCTCTCTGCTCTCTGCTCTCTCTCCCACAGTAGAGAGCTGAAAGTTTCCCCACTTGAGAGAGTTACCCAGCAGTGAGATCAGGGAAAGGTGCAGAGTCAGCTTTAGCCTTCTCAGGCTCTCGTTGAACGACAGAGGAAAGTGGGAGAATTTTGAATAACAGCACAAGACCTGTAGCAAGAGACACAGCAACATTTCAGAACCTGGTGCACAGATCTGCTCCCCTCTCACCACCTGGGCATCATTCTGCCAGCCACACAGACTGGGGAGCAGCCAACGCTGAGACACATTTTCCTGTGCTTGGAGTGAGAGCCCTGTCTAGCTTAGAGAAATTCCCAGGATAACTGAAGGAAAAAGAGAGGGAAGATAAAAAAAACGCCTTCTTCACTAACAGAGAGAACAGCTGCCGAATGGAAGAATGCATCCTTCTCCACCCAGGGAGAGCTGTCAGAAAGTGAACATCCCGAGTGGCCCAGTCACACTGCGCCTGGGACAGCTCGACCAACTCTAGCAGGAAAAATGGGTAAAAACTGCACCAGGCCAGTGTGCACCAGTGCTAGAGGTTTACCAAAAAGACCTGCAGCTGTAAGAGCTACACCTGTGTGTCTCCACTGCCTGGGAGGGCAGCCAGTTACCCCTGGTAAAGCTTATTTAACAACAGATTAAAGCACAAGTGATGAAAATATAGTTGTATCTATGTGGCTCCAGCACTTGAAGAGATTAAAAGGTTAATTACACTGATGGGAGCTGAGGAGTGCGGCTGCCGGGGTGACAGGTGTGGGGCTCCCTCGTCTGGGAGGCTCGTCACGAGTCAAGAGCTGCTCGCTCAGCTGGCTCGGGGGAGCCTGTGCTTCACCCAGGCCCGTCTGCGGGGCAGCTGGAGGCCGATGACAGCCGGCGCCCGGAGAAGAAACCCTCTCTGTTCAGGGATCAGAGCTGCTGTTACAAGTGCAGCCCAGAAGCCCAGCTGTCAGGAGCCGGCCTGCGAGCCTCCGTCCTGCTGGGACTCCAGCGCCCAGGACAGCGGGTATCTGCACCACGCCCGACACCATTTCCGAGGGGGCGAGGGCACCGAGCCTGGGCCCCAGGGGCCTGTGCCCACAGCCAGCTTGAACTGTGAGGACTCGGGAGCTTCGAGCGCAGGACATTCAAACTCAGGACAAACTCTGATGTCGAAGGATATGAAGAATGTGCATTAAAGTATGCAGTTCCAGTTTTCCAATTAACTAAATTAAACAAAATCAGAGACGAAGCTGCTGAAATAAGAGCCACAGTAACGTCGAAGAGTGGCTATATAGCAATGCTGAGGAGGCTGAGGTGGAGGAAGTGAGAGGAGCAGAGAGGGGGGAGACTTCGCACCGCTGTGCCAGAACGACTTCCTTCCTCGGCCCTGTCCTGGCACCGCAGGACAGCCAGGATGAGCCAAAGGGAATTGGGACCACACAGGGCCGCCGGTCTGCTGCCTCGACACAGCTTGTCAGGGTGCGAGAAGACCCCGGACTTGAACGGTTAAGGACAGACGAACGCCAGTGGCCACCTGCAGGCGCATCCCTCTGTGGGATGTCCGTGTCCAGCTCCAGAGCCCGGCCGAAGCCCCGGGACACAGGCGGAGGACAAGCGGCAGGAAACCGGACGCCAGCGGGAGACAGGTGGCCGACTGTGCTGGCTCCCATTAAACCTGCACCCTTGACACAGAAACTGTGCCGAGAACCCGTGAAGCGATGAGGAGCCATGAAAGGCCCCACCTCAGTCCACGTCGCTTTTCCTTGGCTTTGTCATCAAGGAATTTCACGACCAGTACAACAGCAAACCCCGTCCGAAACCCCAGCCCAAGCCCTCAGCCCTCGCAGCCATCACAAGCCGAGCCGGTCCAGCAGACTCGCGACACATCCTCCCGCGAGGACAAGCAGCCCTGCGCCTCCCGGCCAGTTCCCCACTGTCCAGCTCGGCCTCTCGGCCAGCGCTCGCCACACCACAGCTGACCACACCACAAGAGAGGGCAGAACAGTGGCCGGCGTCTCTTCATGGGCAGCTGTGTGTGCGAGCGTGTCCCTCTTAGCAGGTGTGTGTGTCTCTGTGTGTGTGTGCGTGCCCGCGTGTCTCTCTTAGCAGGTGTGTGTGTGTGCGTCTCCC